ATAATGGACCAGGTGAGAAAATAACAAAAATAATGAACAACCATATACCAGAGACATTCTGTGGGGGTGGAGTGGGGAATGGGATCAAAAACGGGGGGGGGAGGGGGAAGGGAGTGAAATGCACGGGACTAGGGTGTTGGCACAGGGGTGATCTGGTGATGGGAAACCCGCAGGGATTACAATCGAGATGGAAAAAAAAAATGTGCAAAATGATGTAAAAATAAACTTTGTAATAAAAAAATAAAAAATAAATAAATAAAAAGATAGAACTGCATTTTCCTTTCCTGCCCATAGAGATTACACTTGTTAAGTTTTTTTTATTGTGCTTTTCAACTATTATCTATAGTAAGTAAAACAAAATTTCTGCTATATAGTATTTTTATTAATGTTCAACAAAAAGTAACGCTAGAGTTTACTGATATACTATATTCAAAAGTGTGCACTATGAATGAAAGACTTGATCTCGTGCCAATAAAAATAATACTATCAAGGGCAATAAAACTGACACTGAAAAGAGAATAATAAATCATGGTTGATGTATAGTCTGGTAATGACATGGATATAACAGACCCATGCTATACTATTTCCCTTTTGTCTTTTCTTTATCCAAAATGGAGACATGATATTAATGGCTAGAACTTCAGAATGAAACTGGGATGAATCAAACTGAGATAAATTCAATTTTTAATATAAATCAGGGATATGTGGCTGAATAGAGGCAATTTATGCAATCTCCCAAACAAATATTGATAACTTCATACAGGAAAATCACATCAACAGATATTTGGAAGTAGTATATATATTTATGGTATATTTTGCCAGTATAGCAGACAAAAAACAGTCAATCTTGGAAATTCTCTACTTAGCTCCTGTGACAAACAAGAGAAGGGCTCCCCAAAATATGGTGCTGCTTTTTGCTCCCAAATTGTTTTTCTTATTCACTTATCCAATTATATCCTCAGTCCCCAACTGCTATACATCATATTGTATCATTTTATTTATTCATATTATCATTCAATAAATGTGTGCACAAATCTAAAGCTAGATGGGAGGTCATTTACAAGGAAAAGACCAAAAACTTTAGCTATCCCAAATAATATTATTTATGGTTAAAAGAAGTTCATTAACAGAGACACAATTTTGATAGAGCAATAGGACAAATATTTCTATTTCTAGGTATTTATCTTTTAAAAAACCTTTCGTTTATTTTCTAAAGAGTAAAATGATTGAATTTCAATTTTTGCAACTATCTCCAAATTACACAGAACAGTAAAAACACATGAGAAATCATGTGCATCTGCTATGATGCACACTATGGAAACTTTAAAATATAATTCTCTAAGTATATAATAATTATCTTCTAGCAAAAAAATATACTCAGAAAAAAATACAATCATTAATAATTTTTGCTATATATAATAAACATTTAAATGTTTGATTACTTTAATCTGGAAAACCAAAATGTTTTAATAAAATTTATTATGGCACCTATACATAACATATATAGTAAGAATAACTATCATTTTAAAACACACTGTAGTTTTTAAACTATTAAAGATCCTATGCCTGAGACCTGAAGCCCTCTTTTAAAAAGATCATGAAAAAATTCACATAACTTCTCTAATACAAAAAAAATGCTTTTCAAATTATTTTTTTAAAAAGGGATACTAATAGATATTTGAAAAAATGTCTACTATTAAGTTAGGTTATCAAATTTGGATTGTTATTTACTGAAAATAGAATATAAACTTTCATAGTGGGAAGGGTAAGTATTATTGTATTTTTATAGTTTCAGGAGTGTTTGTATGAGTGGTGATACACATATCTTACCTCAGTCACAGTTTAAAATGTTTATAATATGGCACTAAGGTGAATTTATTAATTTAAAGAGGGTTTGTATGAAGCAGTTCTTTCTTCTTCTTTTTTTTTTTAATATTTATTTACACATACAAGAACTGGCGTATAGACCAGAGTTGTGGGGGGTGACAGGATTCACAAGAGACACAGTGGGGAGCAGAACAAACAGAATTACTGAAATATACTACCTAGGGGAGCAGCGAGTGGGTCAGAAGAAATCTGCCATGCCATGTGGGTCACCTCCCTGGCTGGGGAACAAACTCATGCTAGAGTAGCTGTGGATAGTCTCACAGTGCTGTTAATGCTTTATATTTACATTATAATATATCAAATATTGTAGAGATTATATTGATATTTAGCTTCTAAATAAACAGTTATTTAGGCTCAAACATATAGTTACTTATATAATTTAGATAACAAATTAAATACACTGAACACCTTTCACAGATTTTTCTCCCAGAGAAGTTTCCCTGCTATATGAACATGAGTGTAAATTCAAATTTTCTACTTAATCCAAACAGATTATAAACATTTACTTCATTTAGTCACTGTGATGATATTAAAGTTGAAATATTTTAAATGTCAATTCTATAAAATAATATACAACCTTAGTATATAAAATAATGAGGGAAACAAAATAGCTCCAACTAAAAACAAGGCAATGGATCTACCTTTTCTTATATATATATATATATATATACACACACACTTATAACTCTGTTATATGTGGACTTACCAAGTTCTGCTAAATTGCCAAATGCAATAAGACACATCTCTGTAAGAGCTGTATTTTGGCAGTGGACATCCAGTAATTTCACTAATGTAGGAATAACACCCATATTGATAAGCTGTGCTTGAAGGGAATCTGTAAAAGAGGAGGAAAAATCATATAATGTTTATGTGTCAAGTGGACATTAATATGAAGAAAATAAATATATTTCTGCCTATTGCAAATTCAGTTTCATGTCAATGACAGTAGACGCAGATGAAATCTATACAACTGTATTAAAAATGAGTGGCATAAGGGTTAAAGAGCGCTATCAAGCTATTGCAAGCCACTGCAAAAGGAGTTAGATCCCTGACCAGGAAACATAACCCATATGGCAAAGCAGCAAAGCAGACCTCTCCTGTCTCACTCGCTGCTCCCCTCAGCAGTGTATTTCCGACTCTGTCTCTATTGAATCCTCTCACACCTCCCCAACTCAGGCACTGCTGGAGTTCACCCCAGTTCTGGTATGCATAAGTAAATAAAATTGTAAAATATGAATAGATTTTGTTTAGAAGTATAGCTCCATTAAAATGTTTTATGTTTAAAAGAAATTCAGATGTAAAAATAATTCAGGAAACATGTTAAATCACTTTTTTTTAGATTTATTTATTTATTCATACAGAACTGGGGTACAAGGCCAGAAATGTGGAGGGTGAGAGGATTCACCAGGGATAGAGTGGGGAGCAGAACAGGCAGATCGACGAAGTACACCACTGAGGGGAGAAGCTGGCGGGTCATGAGAGGTCCCGGAGCAGGCGGGGATCAAACTCATGCGGAAGTGGCTCAAACTTCCTAATGCAGTGCTTTAACCCGCTGCACCACCAGGGAGGGCCTAAATCACGTATTTTTAAAGAGGGTTGTAAAGCTTTACAGAGCAGGCTTTCAAGAAAGACCCATGTATTATGAATTAAACATTATCATCACCAGTTTTTAAACAAAGTAATGTTAGTATCACAGGAAATCAGAAGCATAAACATAAGCAAAAAAGTAATTTTCATAAAGATCAAGAGAGAAGACAAAAATCTAAGAATTCCTTAAAAGTTTCTTCATACAGGCCCTCCCTGGTGGCACAGTGGGTTAAAGCACAGCACAAAGATTCTTAAGCCAATTTCGCATGAGTTCGATCCCCACCTGCCCCGGAGAAGAGCCACATGGCGAGGCAGACCTCTTCTGGCCCGCCCGCTGCTCCCCTCGGCAGTGTACTTCGTCAATCTCCCTGTTCTGCTCCCAGCTCTGTCTCTGGTGAATCCTCTCACCCTCCGCGTCTCTGGCCTGTACCCCAGTTTTGTACGAATAAATAAATAAATCTTAAAAAAAATTAAAATATAAAAAAGTTTCTTCATACAATAAAATTACATAATACACAGTAATAATTCTTTGATTATTTGCAGCAGAATATCCTCTAATAACTGCTAGGAAGGAATGCAATTTTAACAAGAAAAAAACAATTTACTTACAATACTTCCCTGTTTCACAGTCTTATTTAACAATGACAGTTCATTTTTGTAAAAGGAAAATTTTATTTGAGTGAGAAGAAATCAACAAGTTTTGCTATTGTTGCTTGCTTTCACTTAATAGTAAATTAATTAGCTCTAAACTACTTAGCATGCCTTAGAGTTCCAAAATTGCTCTTTATGAGTAATAACAGTAAAATTCAGGGTAGATGCACCAAAAACTAAAATTGCTGATTCTTATGAAATGGTAACAACAAAGACACAGACACTCACATGCCTATGCAAAACACTATTACTGTCAAAAACTGGTTCATTAAAAGATACAGGAATGCTCTTTCCATTTTTATTTGTCATTTTAAAATGATATGCTGTATCTCCCTGCTGGTGCATGAGTTAACGACAGTGCAGTCAAGCTGTCACCAGCCACCACAGCACTAAGTTTGATCCCTAGCAGGTCAGGAAGCTGACCCACATGGTGCAGCAGATCTCTCCTTTTGGTCTGCTGGTATATTTCAGTAGATCTGTCTGTTCGGCTCCTCACGCTGTCTCTGGTGAGTGCTCTCATCCACTCCCCTACTCTTACCCCACAACTCTGTTCATTACAGTTCTTATATGCATAAATAAATAAATCTTAAAATAAAATGATATGCAATTTTCAAGGTAATCATCAATCTTTTAAGTTACTGATTGTCAATCTAAAGATAAATCTGTTTCTTACAAAATACATTTTCTTCATAGCTTACATTCTCTGAGATGTTTACCTATTAATCACTTTATTAGTCTTTAGAATAAGGAGGTAGTAGGAAGATAAATCACACACACAAAAAAAAAAACATAAATGCAGGACTGAGATGTGTCACATGCCAGTTGATTACTTGCATGGTGATTTTGAAGTTAATTTTTCCTGTTTTTATGGTGAAATATTAAGAGATAATAGCTAACAAAGACTTAGGAGCCTTACAAATTGATGAGTGATTAGTTATAGATAATGATCTGGTTCCATTGAGAGGTAGGGTGCTCAATGCAGGAATCATACCAAGAAAACAGGCCTAAGAAAAAGGGAAGTTTAGACAAATCTATAACAAGTTCAAACTCTGAAATGGAATTATAAACTCTGTTCTAATAGGAGACAGAAAAAAAACAATTCATCCAAGATTTGATTTTATTCTTTTGATGCCGATTCAGCAATTCATGATCCATAATAATTACAGGTAAAATACTTATATGTTTGAGCATTATAGCAATTTTATATTGGCAGAATACTAGTATTATGGTTACATTAATAGTATTTATAGTGATCATGCACCAAGAAGCTTTCAAATTTAGACATTATTTTGATCACTTACCAAAAGATAGAATCTCGTATTATCAGACCATTTTTACAGATCCTTGCTTTTCATTTTTATTATTTGACCCCAATTAGTTTATTTCAATTACCTATTCAACTACTACAGAGCTGCTAAATACATAAGTGTGAGAGCTAGTGCATACATTGAGTGAATCACAAACCATGCTATGTCTATATACACACCCTCCTCTCAGTGCTTTTGGTAAAAACTATTAAAAAAAAATCCAGCAGTACAGGAACACTGCTGTAATAACAAATTTTATGGAGATAATGCAACAGAACAATTCCATTTAAAAGATAATCTTCATATTTTCCTAAATTAGCATCTTTACCCTTTTCTTAGACTACTTTACCACACCATAAATTTTAGTTCCAGACAGAAGTGGGGCCAAAATTCAAGAAATGACCAATGGCATATGGAGTGAATTTAAATAAATCATGAAAATCAAGTGTTCTTGATCTTCTGAAGTTTCCTAAGGGTAATAAGAAGCCAGATTAATAATATATTAACAAATAGCACAAAAAACACACAGAAGTAAAGAGAAATGTATGTATATAAAATCCAACTGGACAGACACATGCTGGACGTGGGTGATGTCTTTTTAATCTCTTTAATTTCCATAATGCTAACTTAAAAAAAAAAACAATTATACTCAAATCTAACATGTAGTTATGCCAGATACTGATAACTAATTCTCAGTGAACAACAGAGAAGGAATGAAAAATGTCCTCAAACATACTGATGCAAACTTTCATTTCAAGATTAGAATGCACCATAGAATACAGATCTAAGTATGATCTTCAAAACATTTTTGAGACTCAGTGTTGAAAAACTTTTCAAAAAACACCAAGCTTTTATTTTCATTTTTCACTATATTGATATTTGTATTGATAGTACAAAAGCAATCATGAATAAAAATGCTGGTGCTGTAGTCTGAACCCAGTCAGTTGTCACCAATGTATTAGTATTTATATTCTGCACTAGCACACATTAACACCAAAACAAATGTTATTTTACCGAACAATTATTAAAAGTGTGAAAAGTTATTTTTCATTACACTGTTATTTATGGCAATAGTGAGTTTGTTATTTAAAATGAAAAGTATTTTTTTTTCAAAATTGACTCATTTTGTAATAACAGACATAACCCACTAGATAAAACAAAACTAGATAATAGAAACTAGATAAGCATAAATAGAAAACTAAATAACTTAGAAAACTATATAAACACAACTAGATAAACAAAAGTTGTTTAATATCTTCAGTAGTTTTTAAGTACCTACAAAAGCCCTAAGACAAAAATCTAAGAACCCTTGACAAAGGATTTCCTAATTCACATAGATGAAAAATATGGAAAAAAGAGTTCTGAAATACAATGATTTTTAGCAGATGTAGCTATAGAAAAATAAAACAAATTAGGATATGGTAGAATCTTAGATGTTAGTTTATAGATATTCTGAAATTAATTAATAAAATACCTGAACATGTCACTTTGATTTTAATAGGGAACAATTCAATGTTTTGATCTGATTGCCTATTTTAGTTACAACTTAGTATGTCACTAGAAAATACTATTTTTTTGGAAGCCGGGGGAGGGATATGAGAGGTTGAATAGGAATCCTATCTGTGTGGATTAAACCAGTATTAATGGTATTAACTGCTTCCAGTATTAGCTGGAAGCAAATAGATTAAAATTAATAACTTTTTATTATTAAAAGAAAGCTTGTAAATGGACTTTAAGGATAGCAACTGACTCAGGTTTTATCATGAACGATAACAGGAGTTTTGTTTTTAAGACTAAAAAGAAAAGAATCTTAGAATCAGAAGCACTTCTGAGAGCAATGAAATAATGCAAGACTGTGCCTTTTGCATCTCTCAATAAATACCAGTGAATACAAGAAAAGGTTATCATACATCTATAAGCAAAACTCACAAAAATGCAACCCAAGCTAATACATAACATACATTTATGTGTGAAACAGTCTTCAGACAGCACAATGTATTCAATGTCTGAATATTTTAAAATTTCACCTGACATACATCAAAGACAAATACAGACCAAATTATAATAGCATATTACTACATAATAGCATGATAACACAGGCCCTAAGTGATCTAAGGGGAGGAAAAGGAAAAAGACATTGAGTGGGTGCAGTACAGATACATCTATGGAGATATTAGGTAATCAACACATGAGCTGGTATACTAAATTATATTTGAATTTCAATGATTACAAGTACTTCAGGTCAGACTCAGGGAAGTTCCAAAGATGGAGATCTGGAGAGAAGATCTCA